GTTATAAAAAGTTCCACTCATTTTTGCTCCTCATTTAATGGCTTTTTTTTTTTTTAACTTTCAGCTTAAAAATTTCTACTTAAAATTTCGTCTCGGTTTAAGATACGAAATATTCTCCAAATGGTTAGTTGACCCAGTTTTATTGACTAAGCTCTGACTGCTGTTTTGTCATATTTTAGATCTAAAGTTCTCAGTGTGTGTTTATAAGGGACTACTCACAAAATTGATACTTAGATTTTGTGTATGCGGTTTTTAAATTTCGTTCACAGTATCTTTTATTTTTTCTTAATTGTTTTCCTTTACAAGTCTAGGAAATAGTTCATGTTTGAGGGTTTTTTTTTTTCTTTTTATCTTTTAAAGTGAAAAGTTTATTGTTTCATTTGCTTTCTTGCTGACAAGATAACAAACTCCATATGAAGAGTTCAGGTTTGTTGTGGCAACTTTTCAGTCTGGCATTTGAGATTCTAATCTTCCTCTATTTTTGCACTCGAATACGTAGGTTAGCATTGGAGACCAAGATAGAAAAGCTCTCAGATTCCCTTGGCAAGCCTAGATTTTTTCAATCTAAAATTATCTCTGGATTTTTGGAAGACAGCATGTTTTAAGCATCCTTTAAAAAAATTTTTTTAAACAAGTTGCACATGATTCTGCTGAAATCTTACTAAATGTTTATTCTGTTTCAATCCTGGAGCCTAATATACCAGAAGCTTTATGTCAAGCGGATTTTCCAAGTCTGTAGGAAAATAATTGTATCTAAGAGCTAGTAGGCTGGGACATCACATGGGCTGGGTGTCTTTCTTTCCCTCTTGAGATGTTGTCCTTTGTGGAAAATGATGACCTTCCTAGGTGAAGAAAATATTGGTTGAAAAGGAATTACTCTACTTTGGAGTTACAGGAAAAAAAGAGAAAAAAAAAAAAAGATGCCTTCTTCTCTTAGTACAAGTTCACAGAGAGCCTGAACTTGTGAGGGGTTGTGCTTCAAATGTCTTTATCGCTACTGAAACTGCTCTTGGGGCCCAGTTGAGAGATGCAGTGGCTGCTGCTTACTCATTTCCCTTGACCTTGACCATAAATATTTGGCATGGTGAGCCAGATTTTCTTGTTGTTGTCAGTCTTCTTTTGGTTGGCCTTCTTGAGTTGGAGCTATTGTGGTCATTTTCTTAACTTGGAGACTATACTTTTTCACTTGAGTTTGTTGTTTCTCTTTCCACGTCTGCCTGTGAGCATTTTCCGAGGCCTGGCTTTGTGCCTCTTCCTCTTTTCCCAAAAAAACATGCTCTTTCCCACTCATCCAGTATGTGACTTCCAGGCAGAGAACCACTTCACCTCGTCACTTCTGTTTCCATGCAGTGACCCCAACTCAGACTGTGCTGCAGTTCATTTCTTTATCTCCAGCTGACCCTGGTCATGTTCTCAAGGCCGTATTCTGTCCAGCTTAGGGAGCCCTTCCTTGCTTGTCAAGGTGGCCTGTCCTTAATAACTTTAAGGACCTATCCCATCTCCTTTTCCTTCTTGATTTGGGCTGCATATGCCATTTGCTTTCTATGCCTGCAACTTGATTTAGACTTTGTATCTTTGCTCTTAGGGACTTCAGACATAATCTGGTCCCACCCTGGATGAGAAAGATGAGATCCAGTGATTTTATTTATTAATTTAGTTAACTCACATTTATGGAGTATTTACAGTATGGGCTAGTTACTGTAGTGGAAAATTAAAATACAGAGCTGAAAGGCACAGTCTGAACAAGAAGGCCAAAAAAGCAATTGCCATAAAGTATCATAAGTGCCTAGAAGTGGGGGACATGTAATGAGTTCCCCCAGGTTTCAGAGATCTTGTCTGTTCACTGCTCCAGGACCTAGAACACACTGTTCTGGGAACAATCAACTATTTGTTGAATGAATCAGTGATCATCTGAGAATGACATGAGAATAAAAGTGCTGTCTATAGAGAAGATACAAACCAAGAGACATTTTTTAAGTGTAGTTTGGAGAATTTCAGGAAAACTTTAAGTTCAACCAAAATGACCCAGCTGTAACCCCAAGAAGGCATGATTGGAATGTGTTCGTAGCCAGAATGCTTAAACTTAATTTTGTATCCTCAGAAGAAAAGCCTGCATTTCTAGGAGAGGGTTGGGATGGTGTCTGTGGAAATTGGGGTGACAGGTCCAAGAGAGGAATTGGGTGATATGTCTGTAGCACTGCCTGGGGGCCCTGGCCAGGGGAGCTGTGTGCAATCCTCCAGTGAGCCTCTGCACCGCCAGACAGATGGGTACATCTCTGTTGATGTCTTTCTAGGCAGGAGAATCTTTCCCTTGCTTTGCTTCCATGCTCCCAGCCAAGGAGAGAACGTGAATGGTTGCGAGCTCCATATCCAAACCGCTCAGATTAGATCCTTGTCTTGGGGTGCTGGCTAATCTCTTTGCCCCTCAATAGAATGGGGAGAATGGTAGTACCTTCCTCTTTGTTGCCTGGCACCTGCTAAGTGCTCAGTAAATATTAGCCCTCATCAATATTTATAAACTTAGTAACTGGTCTTCTGGTTAGTACATAGCCATCTTTGAGTTTAGGCAGCCTGACTCAGTTGCCCTGGACCTGCTTGCTCCTGGGTACATTGACAAAGCTGAGAATCAGAGGGGAAGTCGTGACAGATACATTCTGCCCAGACTGCTCATCCGGAGAATCCACCTGTTGCCAGGAATTTCCTGGAGAAGGACAGGCTTAAGCTGAGTACACTGGGAGAAGGTTAGTACAGCACCACAGTAAGGGGAGAGGCCATGACAGGTACAAAGGAGTAGGGGAGCAAGCAGAAGGTGTGTGAGCTGAAGGAGCTTTAGGGTAAAGGGTGGACAGGTATGAATATGGAAGTGGAGGGAAATGAGATTGGAGAGGAAGGCGGGGTCAGCTCTGGAAGAAATTATTAATGACAATATGTAACTTATTGGGCACTAACAATGTGTCAGGTGTGATGTTAATCCCTTCCACTCACTGTGCTAGCCAGGTTTGGTGCCAAGTGCTTTGTGTATGTTACCTTGTTCCGTCTTCACAACAACCTTGTGATGCAGGTGCTTACGTTACAGGAGAAGTGATGTGTCCAGTGCCAGCTGGTAGGTCTCTCTGCCTGGTGAATCAGCCTGCGCACTGGTGCAGGATTAACACTTAGTATCTTTTGTACATTTTTTTAAATTTTATTTTTTCAAAGAGTTTATTTGTCAGAGAGAGAGTGTGCACGTGCACAAGCAGGGAGAGCAGCAGGCAGAAGGAGAAGCAGGCTCCCGGCAGGGCAAGGATACCGATATGGGACTTGATCCCAGGACCCTGGGATCTGACCTGAGCCAAAGGCAGATGCTTAACTGACTGAGCCACTCAGGCGTCCCTCTTTTGTACATTTAAAAGCCTTTATGACTCCTGTATCCTGATGAACTCCAAGCCCACCAATATCCTCTGACTTTATAGAACTGTCTTGGGTTAAAATGTGAAAATATGTGTATCTTAGAATTGAATAAACACAGTTCAGGCACAGATATGCATCAAGCTCAGAGAAATGTAGTGAAACAGGTAAGATGCAGAACAATGTGTATATGGGCCCATTTGTGTAAAAAAACAAAGGAGAGAGCGAGAAATAAACATGAAATAGGTTTCTAAGTGTAGAAAAAAATTTTTGGAATGATAGAAAAGAAACAGTGGCTGCCTTTGGGATGACGCTCCAGAAATCTAGGCTGTTAGGCTGACCTAGCTTTGTCTTGCATACCCTTTTGTACAGGATGATTTTCTTTTCACTGTATATGTGTATTATATTTTCAATTCAAAGTTAATAAAAACCAGTTTTTAAGTGTTTGCCATGTACGTAGTAGTCACTGAGAGAGGGAGTAGCACAGGCACTAAGAACAAGGACTTTATCCAGACTGCTTGGGTTTGGTTTCTGTCTCTGCCACTTATTGGTCATTTATCTCTAAGTCACCCAACCTCTCTTTACCCCTTTTTACACTCTCTGAAAATGGGGGCAGTAACACGCCTCCTGGAGTTATAGTGGGATGTTAATGACTTAATATTTGTGAAGTTCTTAGGCCAGTTCCCGACTGGCAGCATTATGGCCAGGTGCTGGGCACCATGGTGCGAGCGAAGAGGGGATCAGCCTGTCGCCCTGCACTGGCAGTTCTGTGGGAGGGGAAGGCATATGAAGCTAGTGTCGAGCAGTGGCAGCGGGGGCTGCAGGGGCTCGGGACAGACTCCGTGGGGACTGAAGGGGCCCAGGATGGTTTCATCCAAACACTGAATCTTAAATGTGGGTAACTTCTACAAAAAGTGAAAAGGGAGAAAAGGGCACCCAGGGACTGGTTCCAAGGGTGATGTGTGCCCTAGACAGACTGAGAAATGAGACAGGAAAGAGCCTGAGGGGAGCCCGAAATTGGGATCTAGCTTGTGATGACAGGTCATCGTTATATGGCAGTTTTTCTTAACCTATATAAAATAATGATGTGATTTATAATGACATCTTAGGCTTGATGAGATGTGGTAGCTGGACCTTGATCTTTGAAATGGCCAGGAAATGTCCCTGTGTAATTTACTTAATGAGTCCCTTAATGCAGCACCTGTGGGTCACTTCCAGGTGGTGCTTGCAGACTGTGTTGCCCGTGAGTATCTCTGATTTCTGCCTCTACATTAGTATATTGAGTCTGTTGCTAGGATTCATTTCTAGATGGTATCACCTTTTTTTTTTTAACTGTTTGCTTATGTTTCTTGTGTCTGGGTCACTGTCCGATCTGTGCTTTTTCAAATTGGTAACTGCAAAGAATCTTAATGGAATAGGTTTTTTAATTTTTTTTAAGATTTTTTTTTTGTTTGTTTATTTGACAGAGGGTGGGGGGGGGGGGAAGCAGACTCCCCACTGAGCAGAGAGCCCTATGCGGGGCTTGATCCCAGGACTCTGAGATTATGACCCGATCTGAAGGCAGAGGCTTAACCCACTGAGCCACCCAGGCACCCCTTAATGGGATAGCTTTTGAGTGCAGAATTCGAGCTAGAGATTACTTGGGAAAAAATCCAATTTTCTTATTAGGAATAATTTTGGGATTAGATGCCAGTGAGGTGCATTTATGACGGGGAATGTGGGACTACCTGAGTCTTCCCTCACCCCACCCCCAGGTCCCAGAGGTGGATGCGTTTGCCTGGGAACAGAGGCAGAGGGAAGCTGGCTCGGCTCCCAGACCTGAGTGCTGCAGGCTCTGGTAACCTAGGCAGGGGAGGCAAGGGGAGAGCAACCTCTCCCCAGTTCCCAACGACCTATCTCACGCCTGGGTCTCAAGGTCGCAGAGAATGCCGCCACAATAGCTTTGAGCCCTGTCCTTGCCGGTCTTCCTTCAGCTTGGGGCTGACACAGGAGGGAGTGGCAGGCAGGGAAATGGGAGGAGCCTTGACCTCCTTCCCCTCTGGAGGACACAGGGCAGCCCTCCTTTTACTTTGTTGCCAGGACCTTGAGAGTCGGGGCCAGAACAGCAGGAAGGTAAGTAATATTTTTAAAAAACTTGGTAGCTGTGTGGTATTTTGAGGAGGAAGAGTTTGGTTTTTCCCCCTGCTAATGGTAGGCTGGCGTGAAGTATTTCATTAGAAGAGAAAATGCTTTTCTCTGACTAGTGTCCAGCTTCTTTCAGAGCAGATAGCCCCAGTTTCTGAGTGAGACTTAAGGTGTGCCAAGTGCTATGGTTTATGGGCTTAAGCCTCACCACCGTACTGAAGAAACTGAGGCACAGAGTTCAGAGAAACAGAGGCGTAGAGTTAATAAGTGCCATTCTCGTAACTGATAATTACTAAGAACTGGGATTCGTATCTAGGTCAGTCTGACTCCCAAACCCGTACCATAACTACTGTACTTTGTCAGTGCCTGTTTCCAAGAAATGTCTTGATACTGTGTAGCACCTTTTTTTTTCTTCAAGATTTTATTTATTTATTTATTTGCCAGAGAGACAGTGTGTGGGCGTGAGCACAAGCAGGGCGAGCAGCAGGCAGGGGAAGAGGGAGAAGCAGGCTCCCCATGGACCAGGGAGCCTGATGCAGGGCTCGACCCCAGGACGCTGAGATCATGACCTGAGCCAAAGGCAGACGCTTAACTGACTGAGCCACCCAGGCGCCCCATGTACTGTGTAGCATCTGACCTACAAGGTAAAAGCATGAGCTTTTTCTCCCATGAGGTTGTAAGCTCCCAGAGAGCAGGATTTGTGTCTGTTTCATTCACCCCTGTACCCCCAGTGCCTGGAGCAGTGTCCTGTACATAGTAGGACCTCGGTAGATGCCTCGGTATGTGAAGGCTCATGGTGTGGAGAAGCGGCAGAGCCTGAAAGTCAGATGATGGTAACCCACTGCAGGCCTGCTCTGTAGGGCTATCCTCCCTGCCTGGGGAATGGGTGTGGGGGCCTGGGGAGGAGGCTTCTTGAATGTCCTCACTGCTGGATACCTGACCTGCTGGGGCATTTGTGGGGAAGATCGGGCTCCCTCCCCTTGACTCTAACTTGCTGTTCTTTCTGGGAGATGGGAAGGCTTGCTGGGTGTGCGGAATTGGAGTCAGGGTTCCCAGCGTAGTGGCAGGAGCTGCCAGTCATCCGTTGATCAGATTTTTCAAGGGTGCCTTAAATTTTCAGAAATGGTCCCGAATCTGAAGTGCATGTATCCAAAGTTTATATCATTCCTCTCCATAGTAGGAGAAATAATTTATACATTGCAGTTTGATTTACCCATTTATATATAAGCTTCTTGATAAATACTTGTTTTTCCCCATTTGAGATTAATTTTGGACAGGTGCCATAGTGCAAATTGTTAAAAATGAGTAGCACAATTACATTTTCCTGAATAACTTTCTATTGGATACATTAGTTTTCATTAGTTCAACTTTTATGTTTGGAAACTTTTGGGTAATGAAGGCTAAAACTAGGCTCAAACAGAGCTGAGCGGATCAGGGCCTTTTCATGCTGTAACATACTAACAAAAATAAACTCGTGGTTTTTAAAAATGTAGATTTTTTGGGATGTTTTAACAATTTGGTTTTGAAAAAATTACATCAATGCTTGTGGCTTTTAAAAAATGATTTTTCTCAGTCGACTATACTTCAGTTTAAAAAAAAAAGATTTACTTTAAGTCATTCTCCTTAATTTATCCCCCAATTTTTTTTTTTAAAGATTTTATTTATTTATTTGACAGAGTGATCACAAGTAGGCAGAGAGGCAGGCAGAGAGAAAGGGGGAAGCAGGCTCCCTGCCGAACAGAGAGCCCGACGCGGGGCTCCATCCCAGGACCCTGGGATCATGACCTGAGCCGAAGGCAGAGGCTTTAACCCACTGAGCCACGCAGGCGCCCCTATCCCCCAATTTCTATCAGCATCACAATTTGTTGCTGTGAATATGTTCATTGTGCTTGGCTGTATTGGATGTGAAAACTTGTAACGGTCCAGCACCATTTTAGTTCATCAAAAACCTGGTTTTTACCTGAGCAGACTTTTTCAGAAGCTTCAGAACCAAAGTCATTTATCCTTTGGTGATACGTGGTAATCATTTGTAGATAAACCTTTCCTTGGCAAGGCGGTGTCAACTGCCCCCCGCCTCCTGCTTTTAGCTTCTTTTGAAGATTTTTATTTAATAAAGTGTTTTGGCTCAGAATGTTCTCTAATAAAATTCTTTGAAAAGTTGTAATACTTGTTTTGTTTTAAAGGCAACAGGTTTTGGGTTAATCTTTTGATTTTATAAGAAAACTAAACACAAGTCTTAGAATACAGCAGGTTGATTTATCACCAGAAAATTCGACAAATAGCTAGATCTGCCCTCAGCAGGACCAGCAATGGATTCTTTTCCTTCCACTAAATGTTCACCACTTTTCTTGGTATGAAACTGAATATATGGTGATTACCATCCATTTCATTTACTTTTCTACTTATTTACTAACTATTTAAAAAATAAACTAGACTTTGATCTTCCTCTTTTTCTCCTCACCCCCAAAATACCCTCAATTTAAACAAAATTACCCTTCATCTGTATGACTGTTAACACACTTGGTCTTTTTTTTTTTTCCCCAATTTGTGCTATTTTGGGGGATGCCTGGGTGGCTCAGTTGGTTAAGTGTCTGCCTTCGGCTCAAGCGTATCTCTCTCTCTCTTTTTTTTACACAAATGGGCCTATATACACATTGTTCTGCATCTTACTTGTTTCACTACATTTCTCTGAGCTTGATGAATATCTGCTCCTGAACTGTGTTTATTCAATTCTAAGATACACATATTTTCGCATTTTAACCCAAAACGGTCCATAAAGCCAGAGGATCTTGGTGGGCTTGGAGTTCACCAGCGAATGGGAGTCATAAAGGCTTTTAAAATGTACAAAAGAGGGACGCTTGAGTGGCTCAGTCAGTTAAGCATCTGCCTTTGACTCAGGTCAGAACCCAGGGTGCTGGGATTGAGTCCCACATCGAGTCTCATATCAGGCTCCTTCCTCAGTGGGGAGCCTGCTTCTCCCTCTCCTGCCTCTCTGCCTACTTGTGCACTCTCTCTCTGACAAATAAATAAATAAAATCTTAAAAACAAACAAACAAACAAAAAACCTGTTCTATTTTGAAACTAAATTTCAACTCTCTTGACTTTATGGTTAGAAAATTTTTTCTTCTGCTTAAATTAAATTATCACTTGTTTGTAGATGACTGAATAAAAAAGCTTTTCAGGGTGCCTGGGTGACTCAGTCATTAAGCATCTGCCTTCAGCTCGGGTCCTGAGGTCCTGGGATTGAGCCCCACATTGGGCTCCTTGTTGAGCAAGCAGCCTGCTTCTCCCTCTGCCTGCTGCTCCCCCTGTTGTGCTCTCTCTCTGTCTTTCTCTCTGACAAATAAATAAATAAAATCTTTAAAAAAAAAAAAAAGCTTTTCAGATCCACTAATATCTTCCTTTGTTATTATAGAGGAATGTCCTGTTTTGTGGTGATAAATGTTACAGAGCAAGTGGCAGGACAAGAGGTGGTCCGATGTCACCATGTGGGGGCAGTTTGTTCTCCCGTTTGACCAGAAGCTCCTGGAGGGCCCTCCCTCTGCATCCTGGGTGCCCCGAGCATTCCAGAGCATTCAGGGACCACTTGCAGGGTTGACTGTGTTGCTGGAGGATGCATATAGAAACATCTTCATTTGAAGTATGGTAGGTTTGAACGTTGATCAGAATTTTTATTTAGTAGGGTTTTTTGTGGGGTTTTTTTTTTTTTTTTTTTGGTCAACTGATCAGTTATTCGGTAAGTTTTTGTTTTGCATTAACAGCAATTTTAGTAGTCATTTCTTGAACAGAAAAAAAAATAATCTTGGCCTCCTTAAAAGTTTTTCATCGATATTTTTTACTCTGATAGGAATTTAATGTTTCTGGAGTTTTTGCACGATTTTTTAAATTAACATGCTTAGTATTAATTTCTTGGGAACTGTTTCTGTCTAAAGGGCTAGTGTTCAGTTTTGCACATATTTTTCTTTGGGGGCAGTCTCTGGGTGTGGAAGTCATCTGGGCCTGGTGAACCCAGAAGTGTCACTTCCTTTCCTCTGGCTTTGGTGCTCCATGCCTGCCTTTCCATTTTGATGTTTTAATGATACCCTCCTTGCTCGGTGATTTGTGTTCAGGAAGCAAGGCAGTGATTACTTTTGTTTCTGCTTTGTGAACTTCCTCCCCCACTTCCTATTTTTACCAACCAACTACAGGAAATGAGGCAGCTTTTGGCTGGCTGCTAAGCACTGATTTTAGGTGGCAGAGGACAAGGGCCGGAGCCATTTAAAACATTTTCCTCCTTAGCCTTTTCACTGCCTCCTTCCTGTAGGAATCATAGGAACATGGTTTTGTGATTGGGTTGAGATGATGACATGTCCTCCTCACCCTTGGTGGGGTGGGATGCTGCTCAGTTGTAGGGCAGGGCTTTGGTGAAGTAGTAGGTGAGAGCTTTTCTCCATTGTAACAGTAGGAGTGGGACATCGTAGCCTTGTGGCCCAGCTGCTGTCGTGGGTGAACAGTTTGGCAGAAGCAAAAGGTGAAGGGACCTGTTCTAAGTAAGGCTGGAAAGGTGGGTTCTGGTCCTCCAAGGTGGGAGCCCTGCCTCTAGGGGCCCTCTCTGCTCTCTGAGATCTTTGACGAGGGCCTTAGCCTTCGTGGTGCTCTCCTTCCTCTGAATTCATGGCATTTATTTTCTAAACCACTATTTAGCATTTATCCTTTTCTTTTCCCGTGATAACTCTTATCATATTGTGGACTCGCGGGAGCTTCGCTTAGGGAGAAGTTTGTATCATCTTCTCAGAGAGAAGTAACCTTTTATACATTAGGTAACTTGAACATGGAAGGTGCTTGAAGCATTTGTTTAGCAGTTTCTCTAGTGGCACTATTACCATCTTGGGGTGGATAATTCTTTGGCTTTGGATGAACGAGGGAGCTGTCCTGTTCGTGGTAGCATAGTTAACAGCTTTTCTGGCCTCTACCCGCTAGCACTCCCCTGCTCCCCCAGTTGTGACAAC